TTGGTGACCTGCGGGAGCTTGAAAGATGTGAATGTTCAGATCAATGCCGAAGATGGAGGCCTGCCTTATGAAGTTCTAGAGGGAAGTCTGAGTCACTTATTTTATCGAGGGCCATTGCATATTTTGAAATTAAAAAAGATCTGTGGTTCTGGTTCTGGTCAGCTGGGGCTGAGGAATCAGCTGTGACTGACAAGAGAGCAGAGCCACTAAAGTGAAGCCTTTGCTTTGCTGGGACACTCACTGCTGGTCAGCTGGGGCTGGGAAATTAGCAGCAATGAAGAAGAGACCAGCACCGGGCAGTGGTGGCGCATGCCTTTAATGCCAGCACTCAGGAGGCAGAGGCAGGCAGATCTCTGTGAGTTTGAGGCTTGTAACCCGCCAGTTAGTTATTCCAGGATCCTGAAGAGACGCTATCTGAAAAAGACATGGGTGGGAAAGAGGAACGAGGCCAAGCAAAATTCTCTTGTCAAAGCCTCATTTTATTAGTGGAATGGTTGTGGCTTACATAGCCCTTGAATGAGGAATTTGGCTTGCGATGGGGGGCAGGGGCATGGCAAGGGCAGGAAGGGATCTTGCCGGGGCAGCAATGGTCACGAGTCACACCTAGTGTTCTCTATGCAAGCGGAATCGTTCCTTTTGTGATTCCAACCACAAACAATTCTCTAGATAGTTGGGATGTGGGGCGGGTTCCACTAACAGATAGCTCTCAAGATAGTTGGGTGTGGGGTGGGCTCCACCAACAAACAGTTCTCAATACAGTTGGGGTATGGGGCTCTCCACAAACATCCCCAGGACAATGGTCCCTGATATAATCTTTGGGAAAATGGCTCCTGACAGAGGCTAGCCTGATCTACAAGAGTTAGTTCTAGGGGCTGGAGAGATGGCTCAGCAGTTAAGGGCATTGCCTGCTCTTCCAAAGGTCCTGAGTTCAATTCCCAACAACCACATGGTGGCTCACAACCATCTGTAATGAAGTCTGGTGCCTTCTTCTTCTGTCCTGCAGGCATACATGCAGACAGAGTATTGTATACATAATAAATAAAAAATATATTAAAAAAAGAGTTAGTTCTAGGACAGGCAAAAAAAAATGAAAAAGAGAAAGGAGGAGGAGGTGGAGGGAAAAGGGGAAGGAGGAGGAGAGACCAGCATCATTGGAGTGAAGTCTTCTGGGAAATGTTCTCTGAGAGCACACAGAAGCTGTGTTCTGGAGGTGGCCAAGGCTGTACCAGTGCTGGCAGCTGAGCTTAGTTATGTGGAAGGTTAATTCAGGTGGTACCAGTTTTTAAGACATGATGGGTCATGGAGAGCAGTTGAGGCTTGACACTGTGAGAAGCCTGGGGAGGCCTCTGGTGAAGGTGCAGCCTTAGTGGCTGTTGTGATCCAGCTGCCCTCACTCCCTGTGACCAACAGCGGAACTTCCTTGTGGTCTGTAATTGACAAGCAGGCTTGTGCTCTTTCTGGCTGGTGGTTTTCCACAGAAGCTTCCCAGTATAAAACGCTTTAGTCAGGGCAAAATAAAGGTTGCTGTTCTTCACCTGAAAAGAAGCCTCTGTGTCTCAATCCCAGTCTTGGCATTCAGGCTGCAGTGGCTCAGCAAGTGGAGGTCCCACCAAGATCTGGAAAGTGGTGATACGTGAATGGGGTCGTTCTGTCTGCTGGCTAAATCGAGGAGCATATTGGGGAAGGTAATGTGTTTTCTTTTTTTTTTATCCCCAGAGATACTCTAAGGGACATCCTCCAAAAGATTAGCAAGTGTAAAGAAGAGGCAGGAGGGTGAATTGAAGGCCTCAAAAGTAACTGAAACTCTTAAAGCTATAAGGCACAGAAGTAACAAGGAAGACAGCTGAAGATTTTGTACAAACAATAGCTCAAGTTAGCCCCTGGTTTATTATGGGAGAGGGTTTAAATGTTCCAGACTGGGAACAAGACACGTCAGATTGAAAGGAGTATGTGTTTCTTCATCCCCAGAGACACTCTGAGGTATGCCCTCTGGAAGATTGGTCAGTAGGGAAGTAATAAAGAGGAGGCAGGAGGGTGAATTGAGGGCCTCAAAAAGATAGAATATGTACAGATGTATGTTATTATGTTGTGTTGTCTCTTGTGTTCTGGATTAGAGAAAGACCTTTGATTCTGGGAACTGCTAAGAAAAGTATTTTGACTTTAAAATATGAGCCTAAGGATTTGATTCTTTGGAAAAGAGGTTCTGCTTTTGTCTCCATAGAGGATGAGAACCTGTAGATTCATTGCAAATTTATGTGGTTTGATACACCGAGACCCCCTGAAATGTTGATGTAAAATACCCCCAAGAATGCAGCACCCCCACTCAGCAGGAAGTAGCGAGACAGGTTGACGACACCCAAATTCCCTAAAAGATTGTTGAACCAACAAGTGGCTCTGGTTCAGGAGCAAGTGGACTATCTTTGGACTTTTCAACAGTTAATCATGTTATGTGCATTAGTCCTGGCACTGTATTGCAGACTTCTGCTACTGTTGTGGGACTCAACCGTCATATGAGAAGGGTTTGGAATACTGCTTTTGTTAATTTTACCACCCAGTTAGTACATGAATGGGCCTGGATGGCTAAAGTAGAGGGATGGTTGCAGTGCTGGTCTGGCTGGTTGGCGATGTCAGTCCTGGGGGGATACTTGGTTTAGGGCTATGTGTCTGGGTAGCCATGAATGGGCAATACTTTGGGGGCAGGATGCTACCTAAGACAGGGAATATTAGAGGGCTATTCCCCACGACGGGCAAGGTATTCCACCCAAAGTAACAAGACAGGTATAAAATAAAATGGGGGGGGGAGGGTTGTGATCTAGCTACACTCACTCCCCCTGACTGACAGTGGAACTTCCTTGTGGTCTGTAATTGACAAGAATTTCTGTGTTCTTTCTGGCCCGTGGTTTCCCACAGAAGTTTCCCAGTATAAAAAGCTTTAGCTGTGGCAAAATAAAGGTTGCTTCTGTTCTTCCACCTGAAAAGAAGCCTCCATGTCTAAATCCCAGCACCTCCACCAGTCTCGGCATCCAGACTGCGCTGGTGCAGAAAGTGGCAACTGAAGGTCCAGGACTAAAGAGTTCATGCAAAGAAGCTGAAGTTTGGTACCATGACTCTATGAGAGGCTGATGGTGAAAGGAGATGCCAGTATTTTGGAGGTGCCAATCCTGTAGGATGACTGCCAAGAACAGCAGCAGTGGAATGAAGCCATCCTGAGCCTAGGAGACAAGCTGTGTGTGCAGCAAAGGGCAAGGCTAGAGAGGGGACCCTAGCTCTCTGGAGGAGCCCAGAAGATGGTGGGAGGATTCCAGACCTGGTGGACTGAGGTATTTATTACACTGCTGGAGTTCAGATTGTGACCATGCCCTGGTCCTTCCTACGTGGAGTAAGAAAGAATTTAATTTACTTTAACATTATAGAAACTTGCAGATGAGAGACTTTGAACTTTTAGAGAGATTTTGGAGTTTTAAAGAGACTGATTTTTTTGTTTTGTTTTTGTTTTCAATAAGCCAAGGCTTACCATGCAGCTCTTGCTCTCTCAGAACTCATTATGTAAATCAGGCTGGCCTTGAACTCAGAGCTCCTTCTGCCTCTGCCTCAGGAGTTATGGAATTAAGGGTGTATGCTTCCAAGCCTAGCTGAGACTGAATTTTAAAGTGTTTGATTTTTTTTTGTTTTTGTTTTTCAAGACAGGGTTTCTCTGTAGCTTTGGAGCCTGTCCTAGAACTAGCTCTTGTAGACCAGGCTGACCTCAAACTCACAGAGATCGGCCTGCCTCTGCCTCATGAGTGCTGGGATTAAAGGCGTGCGCCACCACTGCCCGACAATTGTTTGATTTTGTAAAAACTGTGAGACTTTTTTTTTTTTTGGTTTTTCGAGACAGGGTTTCTCTGTGGCTTTAGAGCCTGTCCTGAAACTAGCTCTGTAGACCAGGCTGGTCTCGAACTCACAGAGATCCGCCTGCCTCTGCCTCCCGAGTGCTGGGATTAAAGGCGTGCGCCACCATCGCCCGGCGAGACTTTTTTTTTTCATACCTACCCCCTCAAGACAGGATTTCTTTGTGTAACAACCCTGGCTGTCCTGGAACTTGTTCTGTAGACCAGGATGGCTTCAAACTCACAGAGATCTACCTGCTTCTGCCTCCCGAGTGCTGGGATTAAAGGTGTGCTACTGCCTGGTACATTACATTTTTAAATGAACTACACAATCACAATACCTTAATAAAGATCAGAAATGCATATACATATACAGAGCTAGTTCCAGGACAGGTTCCATAGCTACAGAGAAACCCTGTCTTGAAAAACCAAAAAAAAAAAAAAAAAAGCCGGGTGATGGTGGCGCACGCCTTTAATCCCAGCACTTGGGAGGCAGAGGCAGGCGGATCTCTGTGAGTTCGAGACCAGCCTGGTCTACAGAGCTAGTTCCAGGACAGGCTCCAAAGCCACAGAGAAACCCTGTCTCGAAAAACCAAAAAAAAAAAAAAAAAAAACCAAAAAAAAAAAAAAAAGAAAAAGAAAAAAAGAAAGAAAGAAGAGAGCATAGAAGTCCAGCACAGGTATAGTAGGAAACGGGAAAGGATAGTCAGGGGTGACGAGATTTGGTTGGCCAAGAGCAGTTAAAAGATGAGACTTCTGGGGCTGGAGAGATGGCTCAGTGGTTAAGAGCATTGCCTGCTCTTCCAAAGGTCCTGAGTTCAATTCCCGACAACCACATGGTGGCTCACAACCATCTGTAACGAGGTCTGGTGCCCTCTTCTGGCCTGCAGACATGCACACAGACAGAATATTGCATACTAAATAAATAAATAAATATTTAAAAAAAAAAGATGAGACTTCTGAGTTGGGCGGAGCGCATTTCTTTAATCCCGGCACTCGGGAGGCAGAAGCAGGTAGATCTCTGTGAGTTCGAGGCCAGCCTGGTCTACAAAAGCTAGTTCCAGGACAGGCTCCAAAGCTACAGAAGAAACCCTGTCTTGAAAAACAAACAAACAAAATGATGAGATTTCTGGGGTATGTGCTCAGAGCAGGGCCAGGAGAACAGCTTCTCTGTTTACAACACACCCAAGAAGATCATGGGGACATGGTAATGAGGCGCACAGCACTGTGTCCTCTCCGTGACCTGAGAAAAAGCGAGGCTTCGAGAGTAGAAGGCCCTGTAAATGAAGCGGGACAGGAAGTGTGCACCGGCAGGGTTGCTCTGTGTAACCCTGACAGTCCTGGAACTCACTCTGTACACCAGGCTGGCCTAACACTCACAGAAATCCACCTGCCTCTACCCCCTGACTACTGGAATTAAAGGTGTGCACCACCACCACCAACTGAAGGTATTTTTAACCATTGTGTTGAAGAGGGCTAGGGGCAGGATGTCTACAGATACCCCCTTAGCAGACAAGGCTGAAATGCAGAGTTGCCTGGTGTAAGAGCAAACATGCATTCAACTGTTCAACCACATCAGAAGCACCCACAACATCAGCAGGTGCAACGCAAGCTGCACTATAAGAATGAGAACAAGACACCTGCCCTAAGAGCCAAAGGGAATCCACCCCCTCCTGCAAAAGCACAGTCCGTCGATCCAAATTCAAAAGTCCAGAGCACTCTGTGTCCACAGGACCCCGTCAACCTCCCCAGACAGCACAGTGTCTGCAGTCACAGCTTCTGTGAAATGGCAACTCCAGCAACTGTAGCCGCCCCCGTTGGCAGTGACAGCAATAGCAGCAACAATTGCAGCTGTTATCCCAAAGTCCCGCCACTGTCGATAAAGGATGATCTCCAGACGTTCTGTTAGACCCCAACTCTGGGATGCTAACTCCTCAGGAGGGTCGCCCCAAGAAACCACTCACCAGTCCGGTTGGTGCAAAAGCAAGAGGAAGTTTATTCTCGTTTGCACAAATGGGCTCCTCAGCCATGCCAGGGAGAGAAGCCCTGACTAGCTATTATAGGCTACTTTTAAAGGCAAAAACCACATATTCAGGGAGGGAGGTACAATGAGTTGTTTGTCAAATGCAGGGATTGGCTCATTTTAAGGGCATTTACTATGATTGGTTATGTCAAAGGCGGGACAGGCTGTTGCTGGGTCAGCAAAAGACAGGGAAGCACCTGCAGGCTGTTGGAAAACAGTTATCTTCTAGTCAACAGGCAGGATGGGGTCACGACTAGTTCACAAAAGCATGTTTTCTCTAATTCACAAAAACATGTTTTCTTCAGCTCTTGAGACACCAGCATGGGCAGAGGAATCACAGCAGGCACTCGAACGATCAAAGCTCCATCAGAACCGTCCCAACAATTACTCAGCTTGCAGATCCTGGAAGAACAATCAGGAGTATTGCCCTCCAGAGTGCCATTCCACAATACAAAGAAAAATGGGGCAAGAACGCAAGCCGAGTATCGAATAGTCATATTGCATCCAGCAGTATAACAAGTCAGGCTCTTGAGTGATAAAGCCTGCAATATCATGTATACCTGCACCAGAAGAGGGCCCTAGATATCATTCCAGAGGGTTGAGCCACCATGTGGTTGCTGGGAATTGAGCTCAGGACCTCTGGGAGAGTAGGCAGTGTTCTTAACCAATGAGCCAGCTCTCCAGCCCCACTTTTGTATATTTCTAAGCATCACATATGTGCCTGGTGCCTTTGTCTGTAACTCTAGTCTCACGGGATTCAATGCTTTCTTCATACCTCCAGTTAGTTGTGAGCCTCCATGTGGGTCTTGGGAATAGAAACTGGGTTCTTGGGCTGGAGATATGGCTCAGAGGTTAAGGGCACTGGCTGCTCTTCTAGAATTCCTGAGTTCGGGTTCCGTTCCCAGTAACCACATGATAGCTCTCGACCATCTGGAGTTACAGATAGTTGTGGACTGCCATGTGGGTGCTGGGAACCGAACCCAAGTCCTCTGTTAGACTGTCAAATAGACTAACTACTAGGCCATCTCTCCTGCCTTTTATTTTTTTTAAAGATTTATTTATATGGTGGTGGCACCTGCTTTTAACCCCAGCACTCAGGAGGCAGAGGAAGATGGATCTTTGAGAGTTCAGGGCCAACCTGGTCTACAGAGTGAGTTCCAGGATAGCCAAGGCTACACAGAAAAACCCTGTCTCAAAAAAAGAGATTTATTTATGAATATGTATATGCATGTGTTAGTGTATGCCACATGCAAATGAGTGTTCAAGGAAGCCAGGAGAGGCTTCTACAAATCCCCTGTAGCTGGAGTTATAGGTGGTTTAGTAGCCACCCAGTATAGGTGCTGGGAATTGAACTGGGGTCCTCTGGAAGGGCAGTAAGCACACCTAATTACTGAGTTGTCTCTCCAGCCTTTTGTTCACCTTTCTGTGGGTTCTGGGGACTGAACTCAGATCCTTAGACTTTGAGGCAGACACACTGAGCTGCGGAGTCCTCTCAACAGCTCCCTCTGGTTTTTTTTGTGAGACTGGCTGTTGCTGTGTCATCAAGGCTGGCTTCAATCCCACAAGCCTCCTCCCTCAGTCTCCTACATCCTGGGATTTCAAGCTGTGTCACTACCCCAGCCTCACACAGCTCCAGCTTTTTGTCTGCTGACCTGTAAGGGAGGATCGCCCCAGTTGAGGGAGGAATGGGGACATGAGCACAAAGCACAGACTGACTCTGCTCCTCCATCTCTAACACTGCTTGTTCCGTTTCCAACACAACCAGCAAACACAGCCGAGGCTAACAAGTTCGCCACGGCCTGGGACCCAAGGTTAGGCACCTCCCTAATCCTAGGAACCTGAGGTCTTTTACTAATTACTGTCAGGCCTGGTGTGCTAGTCACCTGACTCTAATCGACGTCCAGTCTCTCCTCGCACCCAGGGCTGACCGCAGCATCTGTCAGTTTCAGTACTTCGATATTCGCTCGCCAGGTCCAACATGTGAGCCTGACGCCCCCAGGATTGTGCCTGGCTCACCTCAGTGTCCTTCTAGTCTCCTTTCCAGGGACCTGGGCTTCAGTCACAGGCCCACCTGACTGCTCCATCTTGGTTCTCACAGCTTTGGTTTTCGAGACAGGGTTTCTCTGTAGCTTTGGAGCCTGTCTTGGAACTAGCTCTGTAGACCAGGCTGGCCTCTATGTCACAGAGATCTGTCAGCCTCTGCCTCCCAAGCGCTGGGATTAAAGGCTTGAGCCACCACCTTTACATTTTTTCTTTTCTTTTTTAAATATTTATTTATTTATTATGTATACAATATTCTGTCTGTATGCCTGCAGGCCAGAAGAGGGTACCAGACCCCATTACAGATGGTTGTGAGCCACCATGTGGTTGCTGGGAATTGAACTCAGGACCTTTGGAAGAACAGGCAATGCTCTTAAGTTCTGAGCCATCTCTCCAGCCCTACATTTTTTTTCAATTAATTTTTATATGTGGGGGCTGGAGAGATGGCTCAGTGGTTAAGAGCACTTACTGCTCTTCCAAAGGTCCTGAGTTCAATTCCCAGCAACCACATGGTGGTTCACAACCATCTGTAATGAGGTCTGGTGCCCTCTTCTGGCCTGCAGGTATACACACAGACAGAATATTGTATACATAATAAAGTAAATAAATGTTTTTAAAAAAAAAAAAAAAAAAAAAAAAAAAAAAAAATTTTTATATGTGGGTGTTTTGCTTGTATATACATCATAAAGGGTGGTTGCAGCCCCTGGAACTGGGGTTATGGACAGTTGTGACCTGCCATGCGAGTGCTGGGAATTGAACCCAAATGCTCCTAAGAACTGAGCTCTCTCTCCAGCCCAGCTCTTCTTTACTGTCCAGCAGAGGGCAGGTCGCACTGAGCCTTGTCTATGTGTCTTCCTAGGCTGGATTCCTTAACTTCCCATGGGCCAAGCAAGCATTCCCAGGCTGTGTAAATGGTAAATGTTTATTGTAAATGGTACCTGCTGAGGAGAGTCTGCTGCCAGGTGTGCACTAAGGGACTGATTGCCTTTTTTTTAAATATGTTTTTATTTGATAAGCACAGGGGTGGGGAACACTGCAACCTGCCTCGGGCTCCATGCACACAGTTCTGAAATGACAGTCAAATCTTATGTTTCTTCGACTCTGATTCACGCTTCCAGTCTTCATCATAGGATTCCACTTGGGCAAACACGGTTTTGGGCTGAGTTTTGGAATACACCGGCGAAACCCAATATGGGTTCTCTTCTGCTGCTTTGGCGTGAAGCAGAATGGCTTCCCGGGAATTCCTGTTGTTGGTCTTCTCCAAGGCAATGTTTTTCACAATGTAGGATGACAGGGTGCACCCCCCGTGGGCTACAACTCGGCCACCACGACCTGGGCCTGCTACAGGAGGTTCTGGCTTGTGTGACTTCAGGGGGTCCAGTCTGTCCCTCTCCAGCTGTTTCCTCGTACTTTGTTGGCGGGGCTCAGGCAACATGGGCAAGACATGAGGGGTAATGATGTAGTCCTGGGTTAGGCTCTCAGCTTGTTTTGCCTTCCGTTGGGTTTTAACCACACATAATTTTGCTCCCCTCTGGCTTTTGTCGGGGTCATAATACACTTTGGCCAATCCGTTTCCAGTTCCAGCCATGATCTGGTTCAGCTTTGGATGCCAGAGGCAGCGGACAATTCTGGCATTTGTGACGTTGGTCTCATACACCCTTTGGAGAGTCTGTGCTTGAAGAAGACAATCTAGCCGTTGCACATCCCATTGAACAGAGGTCCCGGTGACTATGAGTTTGTCATCGGGGCTGAAACAGCAATCCGTCATTGGGAACAAGGTGGGGAGGTCTGAGGCTGAAAATAGCGGCTTATTAAATTGTATGACATCCCATAATTTTAATGTATCATCACCTCCGTGGGTGGCAAGTACATTACCATCATAGGAGAAAACCATACAAGAAGTATCTGTGCCAGGGTCATGAGCCTGTTTATAGTGGAATTCAGGGTGAACTGTCAGGTTTCGATCCCAGATCTGTATGTTTCCGTTCTGGCAGGCAGCTGCCACCAGGTTCCCATCTCTACTGTATGTATACGTAGTGGGAATGACCATTTTCCCCTGCATCGTCCAAGGTTTAAAAACACTCTTTGGCCTCTTTGGATTTTCGACTTCCCAGAGTGTTGAAATAGGAGCGGTGGGGCTGCGTCCCCGGCATCTGGCCGCCCACCTGGCTAGCTTATGCCCCGAAATAATT